CGTACGGTATCCCCAGACCTAAGACCATTGTCTTCGAACAATGATTTCGCACAATGACGGTCCCTGTTCCGGTAATTACGGAAACAATTAATAGGAAGACGCGGATCGGAAGTGGCGCGTGCGATATTCCGTTGCACCGCGACGCAACGCGCACGCAATGCAAGCGCGTATACAATAATATATATTGCTCTTTTTTCTTGTTGCAGACGCGGGATCCTCAATCAAGGCGCTGCCACAAGTATGAAAAGGAAAGTTCGGAGTCAACGATGCGCGTAAACGGGCATTCGGAACAGAGCGCGAGGCAAGAAATGGGTAAGACTGCAGCGCTTTCGCACAATAAGACGGCGCTATCGTGACGAATTGCTTATTGAAAATCGCGACAAAGTTGCAGCGTTCCCGTCGTGATAATTAGAGCGTATTTCCAATTAAACGTCTCAATCGCGGTGACTCGCAAAATGCTTAGGAATAAAGAAACAACAGTTTTAAAAAAAGGATTTGAAAAAATTAGAAATAAAAAATCTTAAAAAAGAAAAACTTCTGAAATAATGCGCATTAAAATCGAAGTAATTTCAAGTCAATTGAATTGAACAAAGTTCTCCACGTGACTTTTATGTGTCATTGATTTCTAGCGGAATGATAAATTGCCTCTGATTGAATCGCAGAGACTATATAGAATATTCGACTAGGAATCTTCGCTTACAAGGACGCGTTCCGGTTAAAAAGAAATGACGACGAATCGAAACGATGTGCACGCTCGCACACGCGTCACGTAACGCACGCATTGTCTACGCTGTCTACAGCAACGGTGGCATTCATTATATAAGCCATTCAAGGTAGTACGATGACGTTACCCGTAGGTGCGCCCACCGAGCGCTCATCCTGTTCTTTCATTAATAACAATCTACCGGCTCCGAAGCGTAGCTAACGGTGCATGCCTTCTGGAATTTCACGAAATTCCTCGCCTTCTCCTTTGCCTGCGCTTTCTGTATATACACCAGCGAATACCTTCTCGAATCGCTTACCGCAGAATTACGGCGCGTCTCTCGAGGAAAACGCTGATCTCGGTTTCCCGAAGGGAAATCGCGCTCCATCAAACGCGCGATTGCCTTCCGAAACCATTTTCGTCATCGTCGTGAAAAATTGATTTTAAATCTGATCTGACGGCGCATACATGTGCGATTGAATAAGATAAGATGGACAAAACGAATGTTTTACGTTCGACTGGTTCAAAAATATGAGTAGAAGTTTGTACATGTAAATGAAGAAAAAAAAGAAACAGCAGGAAAAATAAAATTGTAAATATTAAAAATCAGAAATTAAAACTGATATATCTGTAAAGCATATTGCTTGGACGTAAAAAAGAGATGATAAAGAGGTTCAGGAATAGAGGCGGAAAGATCAAATGGTAACTATACATCGCAATATTAGGCTGAATCGGGTCCTAGAAAAACTCGTTTGGCATCAATAACTTATTGACGTAACGCGGAAGTGTGAGATGGGCAATTTATACTTATAACGATCATCAATTGAGTTCGTCCCGTTGTTTAACGTTACTTAATCTCTAAAGAGCTTAATTGAGCGACAGCGGAGCGGTTACGCCCACGTATCGACTTGCGGATTCTGTCTAAAAATATTCGTCGATAACGAACCTTCAGTCGATTACTGCAACATCAGCTCTGTTTTGGATACACAAAATACGATGGGAGACCTGCACAAACGCTATCTTTACAGAAATTTAATATACAGGGCTGATTTATGTAATAATTTTTATTAATTTATCGGCAGATAAATTAATATCAAACTAAAAAGCTTGTTAGATATATAACCGATTAATTAAATTCTATACTCAAAATGTATTTGAAATATGTAATTTTAAAAATGTAATACGAAAAGTATTGTATTTTGAACATAAAATATAAATTTTTATTTTAAATTCAGATTTATAGTTTATAATTTTAGGCATACAAAAAAAACTTTTTAAATACATATCACTTGGCTTTGCTATCTGTTGTTACTTTCATGATAATGTGCGCAATCATTATACAACCTGAAAGTTTGTGAAAGCCGATAGTGCACTGAAAGAAAGAGAGAGAGAAAAAAATAAGAGATACAATTAGAATGCTTGTATGCATCACGATGTAATTAAGATCGCATTGTCTTCAAAGTAATTTATTATTCCGAAAGTTTCGGAGTAATCCTAGAACCGTATAGATTCATATCGTCGTTTCATGTTACAGTGTTTCGATCTCTCCATTGGCACATTCTCCAAAGAATTATAATATAATACTAACTACAATATTTCTGATAATTATTAATAGCTAAATAATGCATGCACAGCACTATTTCTTTCATATCATTAAAAAATATTGACCGTTTCAATTCTTTTAATTGATCACAGTTACAAAGTCACGCGATATGGAGGTCGATTCGCTCCCCTTGTTTCCGTTTCTCCTCTATCAATTCTTTTTCAATGTAGTGCAATTTTGCAACAAAAGCCGGGACCCCGCCCGGCGATATATCGCGTCGATTTGTCGGCGAGCATCGTGCCTAGGGATGATGTAACGTTTTTAATGGGTTAGTTCGATATCGGCAATATATGGGATAGAACCATTTCGAAGAATTGAGAGGGTGCGCCGTTAGACAGGATATGATCGTCGTTTATTTAGGACGATGGCGAAGAAAGAATACGCATCAAATACTAAAAGACTTGTGCACGAAATTATCTAATGCCCCGAATATTCTAAATAATGCATATCTCCAGTAAATTAATCAGTATAGAGAAATTTGAAATACGAAACATGAATAGTAACAGATATAAATATAATATGTATAAAATATAAATGAAGTAATTAATGAAAACAAAAATCTCTGAAATGTATTGAATACAATTATAATAGAGAAACAAAAAACAACTTAAAGTTCTTATTTAAAAAAATTTATTCAAAAGAAACACAAAGCGGAAGACGCCGTTTAAAATCCCCCTTTAGAAGTAGCTGAATTATGATCTAAAAATTTAGCAAAAATTCTTGTACACGAAATAAATATTCAGACAATTCTCTTAATAAATAAAGATATCAGGAGATAAATACACAGAGAAGATAAAAGCCCGGGTATTCGCAAATTTGCTCAAAAACCTGACGTACAGTACCGTTAATTAACACCATTTTGCAAATCAAGCGATAATTAATGTTTTCAATCCGGGCAAACACCAACACTTACCGATTATCACCGACGCAAATCTCGTTCGCTACGTACGTTCTATCCACAGTCAATGGCACGGCGTGGCCCGCCGTCATCTGAATCATCTCGACTATCTAGACCGTATTGATCGCGGCCTAAGCAGCTGGAGTCGGTCTGACAGTAACGTTGGGGCAGCCGCACGGAAAACACACGTGTTATACGAGCAGCGGCACGATGGAGTCGAACTTGGCGTCCCTCACGAGGGGCGGACGTAGTACGACATAGTCGTTGAAATCGAGTGGCCATATACACCGGTCGTCGTGCGGATCTCACGCCGGATGACTTCCGTTTTTCGTTTCTCCGAGACGGAAGCGTCTCGACGACGTAGAGCTTCCGTCGGCCGCGGGACGCGTCGCGGAAATTCCCGCCGTCAGAAGGTTCGATGAATCCCGGCTCGGCCTGATCAATCGCTTTTACTCGACTCGATGTGCGGAAATAGAAATCTTGATCGACCAGTCGCGCTCGTTTTACCCCTTTTACGCTCTTTTCCGACCATGTGCGAAGTGAAAGGTTTACAGGCGGCGATCAGGGTTGATTCCGTTGTGTCGATCGCTTGCCGTGGAAATGGCTTTGGTGTCGATGACATGTTTTGTTGTTTCCATCAGAGGTTGTCGGATATCAGTGGATATCAGTTGCATTGAGTTCGTTCGGCTGGTCTAGGGTGAAGCTAGGTGAAAAGTCTTCGTGCCCACGTTTGCCGTACGTGATACTGCGTTGCACAATTTGCAAAATTTTTTCGAACGTTATATCTTTGTGTAAATTCTGTGACCGATGTTCGAGAAGTTAAGCGGAGTGATATTACAGCAGAGATATGAGCAATTTTTTTTATCAGTATTCGCAGCCTGTCATCACTCACAAAACGGCAATATATTTTATGATATAGATATATTTACATTTGGAACAGATATTAAGCACGAACAGCACATGTACGAGTGTGGTACGTAAAATGCTCGTAAAATAAAACTCGCGTATAATAATTTTTTGCGATAAAATTTTACCTCAATCGCAAATAGAAGAGAAAACTCCGTGCTATACAAATAATCCAATTTTCATGCTTTGTGCCGGGAATATTTACCCTAATAGAAATTTCCCGTCGATGCTATATCCCTTGCCATAAGGAAAAAAAAGAGAGTCGCTTCCGCGTTAGTACTCTATCGATTAAAGGCGTTTTTTTTTTCTGAAAAGCGTTGAAGGTACGAGACACAAAGAGAAGCTACGTCGTGTAGGTGCGAGGGTAAAGAGCCTACGGTCGATTATCGTTCATCTCGTCGAGTGGTTATCGCATCTTCTAGTGGGGAAAGCACTGACGCGGAGGAAGGGAGGAGCAGAAATTCCGTGTTTCCTTTCCTCGGGCTCTCTCTCTCTGCGAAACGCGCGGTGGAAGTTACGATATACGCGCGCTTACGTAACTTCAACGATATTCCCGCAAATATCACGCGTTTATGCGAAACGTGCTTTGGATCGTTACGCACGATTCGCTTTCGAAACATTTCTTGATCGCCGCTGTTATCACACTAACGGCAGAGTGTAAAAGTCACACACTTGCGGCACACGTCTTTCAACATTATTGCAGTAAAATTAAATCAAGAATGCATTATCTTCAGATCGTCAAGATCGATCAAAGAATTCGCAGCCGAGGGAAAACGCGACAGTTTCGCGGCAACGTACGTTCACGTGCTTGTGCATATAAATGCATATTTATAGATGTCAGAGAAACGCGGCGTTTACATTTACATAAGATCATACGCGCGTGAATGTCAATTTTTATTTTACTTTCAAAATACGACTGTTTAACATACGAACCGTTAATAGTCAATGCTGCGTTGGACTTGAGGAACGTCACTGGATACGTCTACACGCCAAGTCCACGTGACCCGCATGTTCGAATTCTCGTCATTCGCGATCGTATTTCAGTTTCGACAATATCAGCGGTAGGAAATAACGTTCCACTCGATATTTCGCCTTGTATTTCTCATAATTTCTTCCTTTCTTTACACAAAGTGACGAAAGAATCATGCTAATTCGATGACTCTCTCTTGTGCAAATTGTGGAACACTAATTGGCACTCAAATTACTTGGCGGACGTTTGTTAGTGTAGTGAAATTGTATATTTGTGTAAAATTCCTACCATAAATAATTTTCTTTAAATAAAGTTCTTTATATGAATAATTTTACAACTTTTAATCTTGGAGATTTTCTTCCGTGTGCTTCCCGATTAAAAATTGTACGTTCAAATATAATTTATGGTTTTTATATCCTATTAAAATTATAGATGATGCAGAAGGATAACGAGGTAAAATTATCCGATAATTAATTCTACGAAGACAGGACGTTTCACCTTTGTTTCGGAGTGATTATTAACGTCGTAGAATTTCCGTGACCAAACTTCACCACAATTAACGTGTGCCTCATGCGTTTAGCTGCGAAAGACATTCTTTCCATCGCGTCGTTTCTCTCGTTCTTCTACCACTCAAATTGCGGTGTGACCCCAACCTTTTTCACAAATATTATTGGCCTTTGTTTACCGGCAGATATGCGAGTGCAGTTAGTCACTTGGGTCGCGGACAAACGAGCTGACTTGTCGAACGAGAAAGAAATTAGAAAAGAACTCTAATATTAGAACTCTGGATATTAGTGTCGTTCCAAGAAAGAATTGTTGCAATTGGCGGCGTAAGATATGCCGGTGGAAAGTGCGTCGGCTCTGTTTGCGCTCGGTAATCAGTTCAATTGAATTGTATTAATACACCGGGGTCATCGCGAGAGTTAATCGCAATGTCCACGCCGGACACGATGGATACCATCGACGAAGCGGAACAAGCGTGGCGTGAGTACAAAAATAGTTCGTCGGCTTTTCTTTTTATATGAGATGCCACTTCTTCGAGTCGCGAAAAACCGTACACGACCTCGCGACACATTCTCGGACGAATATTTTTAACAGGAATTCAGTCTGATAATGTAACATGTGTATAATATTAATAAATTTGGCAAAGCAGTACATCTTTCTCTCTCTTTTTTTACAAAATGTCTAAAAATGCTATAAAACATAAATTTTGTGTAGGATTATTAATGCGGCACAGTAAAAAATATTCGAAGATATTATTTCAATGAAATTTAGTTACAACGCTGCTTTAAATTTTCTAGCAGAATATCTTTTCTGCGGAAGCAAGTCTCGATTGTGTGTAGAACGTTTCGACAGATTGATTTGCATTTATTATAGCAACGATAAGTCGTTTTGTTGGATAACGTAACAATGCAAAATGATGATTTATCGGAGTTCGAATGCCGATTTCCGTTTAATATATTCAATGAATTGTAAATCGCCCGCCAGGCGACATGATGCAGCGGTAAATCGTGCGACAGCATTTATATTTGTTACTCATACTGTTCGCGGGCATAAAGTACATACGAAAGATTCGGCCGATAAGACATGCAAAATTAAACGCTCGGCACACGCATGCACAATTCACGAGTCGGTTAGTCGGTACCACGTGGTTCGCCCGGCATCGACGCCGGGGAAGGGGGTTTAATTTTTATCTTGACAGCGCGTAGAAAACCGTGACCCAGTTCGCGCTATTTCGGTATGAAGAAATTCGTAAGCGGACACTTTTTTAATAACGCTAGACAATCAAATACATCGCGTGCTTTCTCACTGCCAGCTGAACTGTATCAACTTTATAATATTTAGATCTATCTACATATATACGACATTGTAAAATAGGAATGTTATCGCGCTAATCGTAGGGTTTGGTTTATGTATCTATCGTGCGATTGATAAGAATGATATCGAAGCACGTTTAGCGACTTCATTGCTCGCGGAAATAATATTGCCATAACAGAAAGATATGTGTCATATTTACAACAATATCACTTCTTAATTTTTAATACTGCTTTTTATTGATATTATAGAAAAATAAATACACATTCTATATAATGTAAAATAAAAATTATAGACATATTATGTTATTGCAACAATTTTTTAATTTTTTATTAACAAATGTTATATATAAGTTTTATTTTCAAGATTAAGTCCCATTCGTAATATTGTCCTGTTACTGATGTATAAGATTATTCGTTTTGTTCTAACATTTAATGAAAAGTATATTTAAATCCATTTTACATAAATTCATTCTTCTGCAGAAGAAAGATTTAACAAGAACAGAGTTATGTATTCCTTAATTGTACTAATAACAATAAGTTCCGAGGAATTTTTATAATAAAAAGATTAAAGAGAAGGTTAAAGATCAAAAGACGAAATTCAAGTAGAGTCAAGTAACTGCAGCTAAACGGAATTTCCTTTTACGTTCTCAGATGAGATGCTGGAGTGTGAGACCGGATCCCTTTTAGGCAGAGTGGCGGACCTCGAAAGGCAATCCTTGGCGCAGAGGGACGAGATAGTTTGTCTTCGCGCCACTCTGGCGGACGCGCTAAGGCGAATCGCCCAACTCGAGGCAAGAGAAAAGCGAGAGGATGACAGGAACGAGAGGAGAAACGATAGGTTGGTGTCTTCGCCCTTAAGGAACGGCCACGTACCTCTCAGAAGTAAGTTGGCAAAAGTGCACATTGATTATGGAAGCCCGCCTAACGAACGATGCGCGATGCCTAAATGCTTTATAATTTGATTCGATGAATATAAACAATTTTTCATACATAAAACATGCTGAGACAAAGCAATAATGAATTGAAATATTAATAGATAAACTAATTAGACTTAATAATTATTCATTAAAAGATTAAATAGATTTTTTGGAAACAAGAGCATAATATGTCGACTTTTTATTGTACTGTGTTATCGTATAGTTAGATATTAAAATATTTATTTATTGGAGTAAATAGTTATTCCCTGATTATTTATTTTATATATTTTTTTTGTTACAATTTTGCTAAGAAGAAAGCAATCATTATAAATTTTAACTCCACGACATACAATGGAAACATAATAGAAATTTAAAAAAGTTAATTGTTAATTTCTCGATAATCACGCATAATTAGAATTTCATCACAACGTACCTGAATTGAAAACTGACAGGCACGACTAGATCGTATTTTACGTTTGCAGTGATAACGAAAGAGAAGTTCTGATTCGTTTGGATCGATGTGTGATCCGTAAACAATCATCGGATTTGCCGCACCTTCGCCGGTAACCAGGCCGCAAATACACACCCTATTTCTCGTGATGATCGAAACAATTTCCAATTGTAATCATGCAATAATAAAAGACAAGTATATATTAATACCGACAATAGTTTAACAGGATAACTATCAAATACTTAATTTTTGTTTTCGTTAATTGTCGGTTCTAAGAATTAGAATATTATCAAAATGCTGCTTTCGCAAAAAGATTTCAATATACGTCAAAACTTCAATAATTATTAATAATGAGAAATTACTTCCAATTTTGCTAATTGACTCGAATTATATCTTAGCACGATCGGGAGGGGAAATTTTATTTCTTCCCTTCTTTAAATTTTGGATCATCCCCTGCTTTTTACTATACAGAATACAAATGACACAACACTGTTCTTTTTGTTTCCTACTAGGAGCATTGATTGTATCTATACGGCGAGGATATACCATTTTACCCTGACACGTAATATCACATCGTGAGATCGCGGTGCGCAGTGTTATTGCGAGGCGCGAATTAATACGTCGACGTAAGTGCGAGTGGCGATCGTGCACGACATGCAACCTAAGTCAGGCGTGTACTTCCGGCGAATTCGTGCGCGCGGATACCTCTAGAATTTCGTTATGATAGGAATTGCGGATGCGGGGAAGCCTCGCGAGACCGCGAGTGTTCCGAGCGTCTGAAAATGAAGCTCGAGCCGGCTGTTGTACCTGTTGGCACGCGACGGCTTTAAGGTCACGTTCGGTTTCGCCTGTCGCAATCGAGAAACCCGCTCACGAAACGTGAATGGATTCGCGTAATTATTCGCCGGTCTTCGGCATTCGTGCAGACCTTGGGAGAGAATTCTTCATTCTGCACGAGAATTCGGGGATGATCGAAGCGAATACTGGAATTCGCTAACGAGACGAAGAGAAAACACGCATCACAGACTGTCGTACATTTAAATACTGTATAATTTACATGTTAAAAATACAAATTTTTTGTTAATTTTATTTGTTATTAAAATATGTGTGACAGTTCGTGGAACGTCATAAACATTCCATTGCTTTTTATGCATTATGTCACATGTATATTTTAATCGAACTTCGTTACCGTAGTCAAGTTTCACGGAGAAAGTAACGCAATTAAAACGAAAATGCAAAAATCCTTGTCCCACGCTCATTAATTCTCTCGCGCGATCGAAGTGCCAGCTCGCGAACGCGAATATAGTTTTCTAATTGTTCTCTCCGTTCGCTTCCCGCGATTGAAAGCATGCGAATATTCCTTTGGCCCCTACTGTCAGACAGATTTGCAGGAAATGAAAACGAGAATCGCTGCACGTGCATAAATTACTACGCCGACAGCATCCTTATCTTAGCTCTTAGCATTAGTTGATGAACGCGCAGGAAAGCTGTAATATATGCGGAAGGCGTTATGAATATCGCGCGCACCGTTACCCTGCTATTGAAACCCAATCATCCGGACTATACGTTTCGCAGCTACGTCGCGTATTATTTATGCAATGTCTGAAGTTTAAAGATCTTATATTTTAAACAGATCAGCATCTGTGATATCTAATACTTTTTTTATTCGCTCAAAATACTCCGAATGAGAGACAAAGTTATTTTCAGGTAGTCAAAATTCGGTGCCACAGAAGGACTTGAGGCTGCGCCAGACCGGTGGTCTCAGAAATTCCTCTTCTTCGGGATCGTCGCAGGATGTCCGCGACGCGACGTCAAGTCCGAGACGGCCCGCCAGTTACGTGCATCCCACCCAACTTCCTCAAAGGTGAGAGTCTTAAAAACTAACACTGTAAATTGTGTTTGATATCGGCCAAGGGCTCGAGAGACCTAAAACTGGATGGTCAGTTTCTTAGGTTGCCAAACACATACAGATCACGAAGGATAATTCTTTATATTTAAATAAAAATTTTATACAATTTTTATATAATATTTTCCAGCGTCCAAAAATCTCGGATGTCTTTCCACTTGTTTCCACATGCTTTCTCTTTCTTTGATTAATTTCGACTTTATTATTCAAGCTACATTTTTCGATAATTTGCGCTTAATTTTTGTTTTAGTTAATTACTTTTTGTTTTAGGAGATCCGTCCACTATCAGTCAACGGGCTCTTTGCATTCTGATAGTCCGAGTAGTAGTAGTGTTTCTCCGGTGCCATCGCCAAGCCCTAGAGCTACGCCACTGCCTGTAGCCAGGTAGGGAATCTAAACTATAACTTAATGTAAAATAAACCGTAAATTAAATTGTTGCATTTTGTGTCACAAAGTAGAAATCAAAACTGTGTGAATATTGTAAATACGAATTTTAGATCCATCCAAATTAATTCTCCGTCCCAATTGCAAGAACTTTGAATATTTTTCGTTGCATTATTAATTGTGTGTTGCGTGTACGATCGTGATAAATATGCGCATGTATATGTTCTCTCTTCAGTGTTTATCGGCACGTTAATGAACGCTCGCTGTTTAATTAGTAGCGATGTATTTTGATGTTCTTAGAGCGTTATTACGACGTTATGCGATGCGTGTATATATTGCATGATGCTGTTGTACGAGAATTGAATTCGATGTCTTAGATCGCCCACGGCAAGATCAAACGGGCCGCCACAAAGTAGCCTAAGAAGAGCCAAGAGATGGTCGTCCACCGGCGATTTTACACACGCCCCGCAAAACCAGGGAAGCAATTCCCAGCTCGTCGGTACCAGGTTAGCTCGCAGCTAATAAACGTAACAGTAAAACGCACCGTTTGCCTGCTATTTGTAATTTTGTTCACATTTCACTGATCACACGAGTTTAACTTTTTGTTATCACCGCCAAGTTTTCTTGCTTCCTCTCTCGAGCGATCGAGCGCGTTTTCCCGTCGAAGCTACTGTCTCTTATATTTCATTGGTCAGAAAATTACTATTGCTTCGTCTTTTATGTGCTGTTGTGCCTCTTTCTTGCGTTATATCTGCATAGTACATTGAACTTAATTGAATAGTATTTTTTTCTTCATACTGATCATTAATAAATATATTAATGCAACTTGAAAAAAGTATCTTTAAAAAGTTAATTTACAGATAGATAGCAAAAAAGGAGACACAGTAAATTGATGACTTTTATGTGCAAGGATGAAATAAGTCTGTGATATTCATAAAGCCCATTTTAATTATAAAGTCGTATCTAAAATGGGCTTTAAAATTATGGGCGAGTCTAATTTGTTCGGAAAGAGAAGATTCATTATTCTAATCCTCCCGTACGTCTGAAATTATGCTTGAAGCGCACTGAATCGGTGGAGAATTTTTGTTTGTAGATCCATCGATCAAAGCTTCAAGTACGCGGGAAACACGCCGATCGCATTAGAGACGGTTCTCCGTTTCTCTTCCCCTTCGCCCTATCTTGTTTTGTTTTGCACCGCACGGTTTTCGTTTGCATTTTCATTCATTATAGATTGTCTGCGTCCACCAAGTCCCTGTTCAACCTGTTCAAGCCACCGGCGATGAACAACGTCAAGCACGGGTAAATAATATATATATACCAGACTATACTTTACACACAACTTATTTGCCGTACCTGGGCTTCTCGCAGCCGCGTTTAGGCGGCGACCCGCCGTGCAGTGGTCGCGAGGTCGCACGCATGCACGCGCTTCACCGATGCACGTGCGCGCCCGAACGGTCTTTAAGATGCAATTTCGTCCCTCCGCAGGTGAGCGCGCATGGTAAAGCCTCGCTTAAAACACGGGCGTTAAACGCACGTGTAGAATTTCCTGCGGGTTATCGCCGTGATATATATCTGCATGACACACGATCTACGAGATATGCGATCGCGGAGGCGGTTGATCCCGATCTCGCTTCGTAGATCACGGATCGAATTACGGCTTATCTCTTTACAAGAAGCGAATAAATGGAAATCCGGGGAATATTGAAAGAGAAGTTTCACGAATTTTATAATAGCGCTAATTATTTGATAAAACATCTTGGAATTTGTAATTTTTATTTTTATTTTAATACTTCGATTCTTCTTTAATTCTTCGATAGAAATTCCGTAGAAATTATGAAAGATGCCTGACGTAATTAAATTATTAAATTTTATCTTAAATTTTATCTGAATATTTCGTTAAGATTTTCTCGAAGCTGTCGTGCTTCGCATTATTATTGCCGCATATATTATAATTTATAAATTGATGAAAAATCTTCCGAGAATGCATAAAGATGAACCAATCTCACTGCACTTATAATTTTTGCAACGCAACAAAGAAGAGTTTTGCTTTGTGCTAACGTGTGTTAACTTCTAACGTGTGTTAACTTCTAACGCCTGCCGATTCGTCGATCGGTATTGCAACGAACGCCCGTTAAACGGGAAATTATCGTGCCGCATGCGTTTGCACATAGCACACAGCACGTAATACATATTATCACCGCATTGGCACGCCATTAATTGGTCGCGTTACTTTCGACCTTCGATGTCGCATGCAAATGTCATGCAGTGTCACGCACAGATTTTCTTGAGGATCTGTGAAACTTCCAGCTTGGCAAAAGTGCAGTTCAAAGGGGCGTGCATACCTGATGCGATACCGTATGTACAAGACATAAAAGCCACATTTTAAATTTAAATATCACGCCTGAGATTGTTTTGCACCGTGCTTGGATCGCGATCGAAGTTAATCGCACGTTTTAATCGCATTCCCATAGAAACTATATATATGATTATTCGTTTTGAAATTGATACGCATAGCGGAAAATGTCTTATCGTATTTACGAATCATTCTCGCGCGAATAAAACAAAGAATAAAGTACAACTACAATTTATATTTTATGGGAACTGTTGTGAGAGCGATTTATAACAGTAAGCATGTACAATACTAGTTCTGTTATAATACGATCTTGCGGTATATGCATGTTAAAGATAGCGTATTCTATGACGACAGTCGAAAGATAAGTAAGTGGTTTTATTTGCGTACCGTATACCTTTATTTATTTTAGCCACGTAAATAAATTTTATATTAATTTCACAAAGTAGATATTTGTAATTAGCACATTATGATCGCGATCGCCTATCCTTTGTAAAGATATGAAACTGAAAAATCGTCTACCCGAGGACGCTTTCAGACGGCGTCGTTTTTTTTTTTGCTGACGTTTCCGGCGTGCTCGTGAAGCCGTGACGTCGTGCACACCAGGAAACGCAGTATGCATGGTTGTGCAACAGCAGGAGGAATCGCAATTCACTTTCTTCGGTAACGCAATGGCGCGCTTCGCACCACGACGTTAAATGAGCCGTTAACCACGTGGTCCTCCTCTCGTACCTGTTGCCTTCCCGCATCGTTCAACGTCAAAAAATGCACTCGGAAGTGCTTTAGCCTTGCCCGCTCGTTGCATTGTTGCGGGCGAGCGAACTTCATTTGAATTTATTGATCAGACAGAGTCAATAATACCGTGAAGATATGTAAACAAGCTGGATTCCAACTGCTTGATAGCGTGACGGTCTGTAATCATTTCTACGTGCGTTCAATTTTATGTGGAAATATGCTTATATCTTTAAAAACAGAATGATTCAATATATAATAAGGATTGCTTCAATTAATGAATAATTTACGATTTTCTCGTGCACAATTTTTCTTACATCTCGAATGTCAAATAAAATTTGTAAACGTTATAATAAATGTGAAGATAAAAGTAGCGAAGGCTCCCCGAATTTGCATTTCACGAAGAATTTGGTCAAGGCTAAAATTCTCCGCTACCATGTTTTCAATCACATTGATGATTCGCTTCGCTCGGCTCACCGCGTGGCATCTTTTCCTTCAAATACGCTTCACGCTCGAAGGATACATTAAAGAATCAGAATCGTTAGGATATAAATCGTGAAAAATTCGTAGCTTCGTTGAAACACGTCCCACGAACTGAAAGACCGGAATAAAAACATTGAAGTGTTAGCGCGATAAAAAAAGGCACCGTTTACGCGTTGCTTTATAAAGCAGCCCTCCTCGTCCTCAATCGTGTATAGATCAGATTAAAACGAGTCCAAGGACCTCGATCGAACCCGGGACGAGCAAATACCTCGTGCGTGATAATGCGATATCAGAAGGACCAAAAATAGAAAAAATTAAAATTGACGTAACGGCGCAGCATGCTTCGCGGAGTAATAAAGTCGAGTCATTACTCGCGTGAGTCATTCGTCGCGGTTACCAGACCTCATCGACACAGAAAGCCTGGCGAATTCGCTCAGTATAGCGCGAACAGTGTGATCAGAGAGTACGCCAGTTGAAACACGAATTCGAGCAGGATTGAGCGAAGTTCTTGACGAGTTCACATAAAGTGAAAATCATCGTCCTTATCGATTTGCGATACGTGAGAAAAACTTTATCTAAGACAGCTTCAATCGATCAGCTTTTGTATCTTAGGACCACGTCCTTTCAACTATGAGCGCTAATTAGAAGATTAAAGACAAGAAAGCGAGGGATAAAATTTTAGAACGAAAAATTCTTTTTCTCAGGAAATTTAAATGTAGAAAGTGTGAAAAAATATGTTGCTGACAGAAAAAAAATTATTGATTAGATAAATTTGTTCAATTCGTGCACTTTTTTGTGAGAAATTCGTCGCTTGAAAACAATTTTCAGCTTAATTTTGAGTCCTTGAACGCATACGCGCGAAATATCGATCGCAAAGTGAAATTTAACGAAATGAACAAATAAACAAATGTAATCTCTTTGTAGTACTAGAGACATGCAGTACAACGAGGAGGAAGGCACCGTCCGTATGTATTTGCGCGGCCGACCGGTCGTTCTTTACGTCCCTACGTCCATGATGGAGTCCTACGACCTTCACAAAGTTAGCACGCCGCCGCAGAGCAAATTGAAGCTCGACTGGGTTTACGGTTACCGCGGGCGCGATTGCCGCAGCAATTTACACCTGCTGCCGACCGGCGAGATCGTATATTTCGTCGCGGCAGTCGTTGTTCTGTACAACATGGAGGAGCACAGCCAGAGACATTACCTAGGTCATACGGACGATGTTAAATGGTGAGTGAGAAGTTGAGAAGTAATATCCAGTTCTTGCAAAGAAAAATGCTACGATAATTAAATATCTCATGAGTAATAAAAATATTCAGTCGTTAATATTTTAACACAATAAACTTTTATTCTAAGAAAAGGAAATTTATTTAATTTTGTTTATTATGAAACAAAAGAAAATTATAATATATAAAATGTTCTTTAGTCAGTTATTATAAAATAAAGAATTACGGAACATATGTTAAGTAATATTAATTTGATATTTTTTTTATACAGCATAGCGATTCATCCTAACAAATTGGTTGTCGCCACAGGACAAGTGTGCGGGACAGATCGCCGGGATGCTATGGTAAAATTATGAAAATATTAAATATATAAAAAAATAAAGAAAATAGAAAGTTATTTTAATTATATAATGAAACGTAGCAGATAAATTAATGAGATACTATAGATGGGTCGATATGGATTTTAGCCACACATAAGAATATGGAACTCCGTGAGCCTGACGACTCTCAGCGTGATCGGCAATGGCGAATTCGACGGATCGATTTGCTGCCTGTCATTCTCCAAGGCCGACGGCGGAAATTATTTGTGCGCCATCGACGAGACCTCTGATCACAATATATCGATCTGGGACTGGCAGAAGAGCGATCGTGGCACCAAAGTGACCGAAACGAAGGTACGCGACGATAATTTGACACGCGCGTAATGACGCTATTATTAAAAATTGCGGCATATTTATAATGTTGCAAATGATTTATATTTCGGCCGGAAGCAGGCCATTTAACGGCTGATGACTGTTGATTGCAGTGCTCTGTCGACACGGTGGTTTGCGCCGAGTGGCATCCGCTGGAACGTAACCAGATCGTCTCCTGCGGAAAAGGACACGTGTCCTTTTGGTCCCTGGACAACGGCGGCATGTTGTATAAACGTATGGGCATCTTCGAGAGCAGAGATAAGCCCAGGTACGTTACCTGTGTCGCCTTCAATCAAAACGGCGACGTCCTCACCGGCGACAGCAATGGCAACATCATCGTTTGGACTCGAGGTAGTCTCCTTAACAATTATAGTATCTAGTATAATAATAATCTTCGTTAAATATGTAAAGAATCGGAAAAAATTATCTTCGTCGTTATTAATTAAAAAAAAGAACTGAAAGGTTAAATTAATTCACTCTCAAGATAAAAAACCTATCTATTATATATACCTTACTATATCTCTTTTTTTTTAGGTACTAACACAATTTCAAGGCTAGTGAGAAATCTCCACGAAGGATCGATTTTCTCCATATGTGTTCTAAAAAATGGCAACATTATTACGGGAGGCGGGAAGGACGGCAAGATTTTGTATTTTGACGCGTCTTTGAATCTGACGGGAGAAGAAGCTCAGGCAAGTCGGAGAGACTTAAATTTAAGAGGAAATTTATTTGCATGTTTTTTTTCAACTTTATTATCAATATATTTTTCGATACCGAAAGGATAATAAAATTTCATTATCCTTTTGGTAATAAGCACAAAGATCCAGCCTGACCATAAAAGGCATATTTCTATTAGGGTAAACTCGGGTAAAATGGCCATTGAGGAAAGATGCATGGCCAACCCATGTTCTTTCAATCTAGCTCGCCATGAAACATCGAATGGAACATGAGTTGGCCATCTTTCCTCTATGGCCATCTTATTCGAGTTTACCCTACTTGTGTTATTTTCATAAACGGTCAAGATTACTCATTATAGATAATAAAATTTGTCTGATAGATTGAGGATCATTTTGGTGGAATTCGAACGCTCTCGGAAGGAAGGGGCACTCAATTATTAATCGGCACGACGAGAAACTGCATTCTCGTTGGCGAGAATGACATGGGTTTCAATCCCGCAATGTTGGGTCACGCCGAGGAAGTTTGGGGACTTGCGGCTCATCCGACTTTACCTCAGTTCGCCACTGCGGGACACGACAGATTGTTACAGATGTGGGACAGTTTAAGTCATACCGTAGTGTGGAGCAAAGACATCGGGGTATGTAGCGTTTGTTTATCTAGTAGCACACTCTGTTCCCGTTATCCCGCAAACAACCAAAAATGCATTTTGAGAAATAACAAAACTTGATTATAAAAACTTTAATTAATTAAATCACGGAAATTAATGAAATAAGATAAGTAATGTTTCCGATTTTTTTTATTTTGTAGAGAAATATACGGAAACAATTGTTTTTTACTTTATTAATTTTTATTATCATTTTTATTTAAAAAGATATTTAAAGATATGATTTTTGGTATAAAATAAAATATATTTAATCAATTAAAATAACTATTATAGTTTCTTCTTATAAATCAATGTGAAATGAAAAACAATATAAAAATGCGTTGGTTTTTATACATTGTTTAGGAGCAAGCACAAAGTATCGCTTTTTCGCCGGATGGTAGTATCATAGTCGTCGGCTGTGTGTCCGGGAAATGGTTGGCAATTGATAGCGAGACGCGAGAGTTGTACACACACCATAGCGACGGTTCCGAGCCTATTCAGGTACGTTTATATAATGTTGAATTATGTAATTATAGCTTTTTAAAATGGGTCGAAATAAATGAAAACAGTTCGATCTTATGTCTGATTCGATCATATTTGACAAAACAATTAAATTAAATGTTTATGACAGCATAGTATATCATAAAAATTTACAACGAAAAATTATTTTTCAATTCGTACTTTGTTACATCGTGCTTATGGTTTTTAGGTCGTTCAATTCTCGCCCGATGGTTCTTTGCTTGCTCTCGGCTCCAGAGATAATTACATTTACATTTATCAAGTGAACGAGGACGCGACCAAATATAGTCGAGTTGGGCGATGTATGGTAAGTTATTGCAAATTAATAATAATTTTCTATTATCTCATTACAGCATCAGTAAAATTCTAATATTTTCTATGAATATTATTTTTTAATAAAACCATTTTAACACATTAAACAGAATATTTTTCATAAACTTAATGTTATGTATCTCTATTAACTCTAAATGTATTTTTCATGTTACAAGTTTCGTTATTATAAATTATTATATTCGTTTAAAATTCCCTTATATGAATTGCATAATTTTATCCTGAAAATTTTAATTCATCTTATTGTAACATAATTGATATTACTGAGTGTCTTGTAAATAATGTAAATAACAGATTTAATGTGTGTACATATTTACTTGCCTATAATGAATAATTAGTTACAAATAGCATTCATTAATAACTCAATGGCTTTAATATTGCGATAAAAATAATTGCCTTACCAGCAAGAAAAATATGACCTTTAATTGTCATCTATTAAGTTTATTTCCATTGTTTTTTAAAGAAATCTAAACCATTTTTCTTTCACTACATTGTATAATCTACTATGACAATTATTAAAATAATTATTTAAATATCCGTTTCAAAACTGTAAATAATTGGTAAAATTATTTGTAAATACATGTAATTTAAATAGTTTTATCAAACTAATGACAAGTATGACGAAATACGTTTTATCAGCCATTTCCCGTAAACATTCTTAAGCCTAATAATATTCAATACAATTCTTTTCCATTTCTAGCCAAAGCGGATTCGAAGGCACGGAGTAAGACTTGTGTTTCGGCCACTCGGAAACGTAGAAAGGACGTCGCGTTGCGCACGAAATTATTTCAAACGCATCTAATTTCTCACACAATTAAAAAACGTGACGCGACGTACCTCGCTTTAGTCTCATACATGATCGTAGAATATTGTTAATTACACAGTTAAACTTCCACTTAACTTCTTAGCACCCGCACGCACGTTAAGCATTGCTTGCATAAAGTAATTACAATATGATAGCAGATAGATGATAGAATTGTGCTGTTAATTTGCCATATAACACACTGATTATCTAATATTCTATAGCTGGCAACAAGAACGCAATATCTGTAACTTATTGTGATAGTTGATAACACATGTACGTACAGTGTGAACATATGGATTTTTCTTTATTGCAGGGACATTCCAGTTTTCTAACTCATTTGGATTGGTCCGTGGATGGTCAGTACTTACGCAGCAACAGCGGAGACTATGAGCTGCTTTATTGTAAGTAAAATAATTTTTAATAATTTAATTTAATTCAGTATAATTTGGGATAAGTTAAAACAGAGAAAATAAAGAAGGAAAAAGAGTATAGAAGATAATTACTAGAAAAGATCAAGAAAGGATGTCCGTCACATTGTCATAACATGTTCAAACATTGTTACTAGTATGACTATTGGATATTGAAGCAAATGAAAAATATCGATTTTAAAAGACTACAGAAACAATGTACCTCGGGATTGTATTTCCTTTGTTTTTTAGATCCTTTGTGCTTTTATACTTTCTCGGAAAATATTTTCTAGGACTGCTCAAGAATAATTTATGACCATATCTAAGGGCGCGTTTCGTTGTTTATTGTTGTTCAACTAATGTTAAACAAGAATAAGTGATGCATTATGCGTATCATGCGAGTAACGAAACGCGCCCCAAGACTGCTCAAGAATAATTTATGACCATATTTAGTTTCTTGGATGTAAGGGGCTAGTATTTTAAATGATTGAAGCTCGAAGTTTTCTCTCTATATATTTGTGCTTTACAAATAGAGCATGAATTCTTACCACCTGGGAAGTTTGAAATGTTTAAATTTCCGAAGAATACCCTTTGAAATTCAAGATTTTTAATCTTCTCTGCGTTTTCTCTTTATCTCATGAACCTTGGAATGTTTATTTTCTCCATATGGCTTCCCATATGGTTACTTTATCTTTAAAAAAATAAATTCCTTGAAGATTACAACGTCGTTAACGAAGTAATTATTTGACATATGCGAACACATTTCTACCTTTTGCGCTGTAGAGCGGCGGGAGTTCGGGTTGAATAAAAGAAAAAAATTCTAAAGCTTATAAGACAATTATAATATGAAATATACAGCATAATACAATTATTGTAGTATACTATATAAATTATAACTCTTATAATTTGTCGATAATTATAGCTGCTCTTTACGGATAACTTTCTTATCCACGTACAGGAAAATAAGAAAAAATAAAAATGTAAGGAAATGTGCACCATTATAACCAGCTGTTATAATGAAGACAATGGAGTAGTAATAATATATGTATATCGCTCTAAATTAGGAATATAATGTTGCACATCTGACATACGACTTTCTCTGATTTTCAGGGAATCCTGGTGTATGCCGTCAAATTCCACAGTCTTCGATGTTGAGAAATGTTGATTGGTCAACCCATACCTGCGTGATATCGTTCGAGACAATAGGCATCTGGCCGGAAGGCGCAGATGGAACTGACGTGAATAATTGCACACGAAGTGGCGATGGCAAGCTTTTAGCTACGGGTGATGATTTTGGAAAAGTCAAATTGTTCTCTCATCCGGCGTGCCAGCCGAAGGTAACACTCGAACTATTTTAAATTATTTTATATTATACTGAACCTTTAAACTCTCATTATTATCAAAAACTTATCAATAAGTATTGCATATATATTAAGAAGTATAAAGATCTTGCAAATGAAATTTTCTATTTCAGTCACTATACCATTCCTATGGCGGCCACTCGAGTCACGTAACGAACGTCTCGTTCTTGCAAGATGATTCCCGATTGGTATCAACTGGCGGCGGTGATACCAGTGTTCTCCAGTGGATAGTAAATTAAGCGAGTCAATTTCGAGCGAATGATTCTTAAAAGTGCACTTCAAGATCGAGTTAAGGAGATAAAAGAATGTTAACGTGTCGTGATTTAAAACTAAAAAATGTCGCACGAATTACTTAATCGACGACTTAAGCATTGTGGCTTTTGTTCTTGAAAGAGTCGACGAGGGAATCGTCCTAGCACCTCGATTTCCCGACATTAAGATATCGTTCGCCGCGTGATGTATTTTATCATGAATGTTCTTAAGAGGATTCCACTTGTTCAAGAGCGGGAGATTAACCTGACGCCTCGATTTCTCAATACGTTTGTCATCAGGCGGAAGATATTCAAAGACTTGAATATATACTCTCGCATGTAAAGCAACTCAATGCACCGCGTATGCGGACGTGTTTCTTTCTCGTGTCAGTATGTGATAGCACCGATATAATATTTTCTTACACTGTTGAAAAATTTTTGTAGGTTTGTTAAAAAAAAGTCCTTGTTAAAATTTTTTTTGTGTAAAATAATCAACACATACATGTGTAGATTTAACATATGCCTCCTATGTTAATTGAACTAAACAAACTTGTAAAATTATTAAAATAATTTAAAGAATATGTTAAAGTAACACAATTTGAATGTATTTATTAAATACATTCAAATTGTGTTACTTTAAGGGGATGCTGGAGTGACGGCCGAACTTCCTCGATGTCGATAATGTCAACATTTCTAATTTTGTTTTTCCTATATCTGTCTTTGTCTAACGAAATGACATCTGTCTTTGTTCGATTGCTGCGCCATTTCTGCTTACTAGCCTGCGTGTGTATTTTTGTGGAAAATATACACGATTTCTTCGAAGCTCTAATTTTTTTTCCAGGCTTTCAATCTCAATTTCAACGGTACGTTATTGTTTGTGCACGTATTCTGAAGAGTGGGAACATTTCATTTCGTACATATAACTTATACAACTGTTTATATTAGAAAATATGGTTATGAGGGGTGACAGCATTTTTACATTTTTTTTCAATTATCACTAATTTTTTATATTCCCACTCTTCATTAGTACCTATGCTTTACTCCTGTTAAAGAATTTTGCGATCTATAAAGCCGTTTCAAAGAACGAGCTCTGACTGTTTTTGTCGGTAATTGTCCCCTGTCCAGGATCCCTTAACATATTCTTTAAATTATTTTAATAATTTTACATTTTAAGTTTATTAAATGTGTTGAAATTTACAAAAAAAGAGTGTTGATTTTACTCTATAACAGAAGTGGGAATAAAAATTTACAGAAAAAGAATGTTGATTTTATCTGATTTTATCTTACAATCTTAACTTCAACATAAAAGTTATGTTAATTGTACACAAAATTATATAAACCTCAAATAACGATCAGAATTACATTTCTTTTCTGTTGAAATATTTTAACATAGTATCGGTGTACCATTTAACACATCCATATTATGTTAAATTAACACAAAAATTTGAGTGGACCGTTTATGGGACATGCGATTTATGTTATATTTAACACAAATTTTCCAACAGTGTACCATTGTGTCCAACATGCACAATATTAATGGACAAACGCCTGTATGGACATTGATATGATTACTCTGAGGGCGACTTTCGACGGTGCATTTTTTGTTAATATTATCAATGATTTATGTTCATATTATTAATGAAAAACACAGAAATGAATATTTTATATGGCGCTTTACTGTAACAAATCTTTTTGTTTATTTCTTATTCTTTGAAAATGTATTCTAATATTTTTGGAAGTCTTTCTTTTTCTAGAAATTGATGGTAATCGCGAAAATCGTTAATTGATTGACATGAAGAACTTTATTTTATTTTTAGTTGCTTTCGTATACACGTACGAAGAGCTCAACGAGTGATCTTTATATATTTCCGAATAATACGTAAATGGATGTACTTTTTTATTTTTGTGAAAATGATGCGTACTCGCGCGTACATGATATATCGTACATTAATTAACGAGTATAGATTTTGAAATAGAAACTGTTAAGCCCCTTGCACAATAGGCGATAGCGATAGCGATAGCGACAGCGACAAAGTTGCCGACAAAGATATAGCTTGTCGTTGTCGTTATCGCTATCGCTATCGCCTATTGTGCAAGGGGCTTTATAATCAAACAATTGCATAGATAGAGCAAAATAATTACCTCGCTGATATTATAATATATTATAAATTAATACATTACATGAGGTGATTGAATTTTATTCGAGCAAAATCAAATATTTGATATTTGTTTCAAGATACAGAGAACTTTTTTATTTCATTTATTAAGCAAGCGCGATATATTTTACAGATATTGTGCTGTACTATTCCGAGATTAAATTACATATTTGCAAAATTTGATATATCGATTCGTAAATGAACGATATGCTTGCACGCACGTACGCATAGGCATGCGAATTATTCTTGAAATCATGTTAATTGTCCTAAATATATTCTGAATGCGATAACGCAGTATTGCGAGAGACCTAAAGACGAATCTCGGAATACGTTCGCAGAACGTACGAAAACTCGTCGTGAACCGGAGAACCGAGGCTTCTCGCGGTCAGAAGCACAAAAGTGAAGAAGGTCGGAAGAAATAGCCCCTAAGCGCTCGCGAAGGGTCCGATTTGGGACCTATAACCGCGGGAAAAATAAGCAAACGACTCACAGTGCCGTAATATGCCGTCCAATAGAAAAGTACGTAACATAATTCGCAATTTGACGAATGTGCTTTCGACGACGGATTTTCTCACGACAAAGGAAAAAATAATAAGAGGAACGGACGATGAAAGAAATACTTTTCGGGTGTACGCCTATCACGTGAATGTACATATGAAAGAGCTCGCGTCATAGCGTCCCTTCGGCGCGTTTCATATACATATATATGCCTTCTCTCCTTTACCTCCCTTTTGGCATGAACTATTTTACCAAAGTCTAACAGAACAAGGATAATCACTTTATTTTCACTCATCGTCAACGTGTAAGATATATCTATATATTTTATTTATGTTATACGGTAACGTGTATGCGTATACATCATGTGTATGTACTTTCAATAGATAATAAATCATCTTCAATATAACATCACGCAATAATTATATGAATTCGTTGTATAAAATAGCTCTATTATTAATATAATATAATAAGAACTAGTAAAGACAGCTAAGAGAATTAATTACGGAGGTTCCACATTCAGTTAGCTAAATGTTTGCAATATTAATCATTTAGCGGTAAACTCGAGAAATAAATTGCAGCGGATTAGCATCAACTGCGCCAATACCAAGCTTATATTTCATCGACAGAGACTGCAGACGTGTGACAACGGACTGATAGCAGAAGTCAAGCAAATCTGCTGTTTTGTAATCCATCTCAATGGAAGATTCAGCTAGCTATATTATTTTTTACATTAATCATGCTTATATTTGACTAAATACTGTAAATCGTTTCGTTATTTCATATTACCTTGCCTTGCAAAGTTTTCGTAAGAAGATTGTTCAATTTTCTGCTATTTTTTTTTACATAATTACTTCTTCAGCATTTTTTTGTTACATCAAGATTACATGAGCCATAAAAATTATTCAAATTTACACCGCTTTCAAACCTTCATTTTACTGGTACAGACAGGTCCAATGCCACATGCTGAATAATACGAAAGATCGCACAGAATCAGAGCGGAAACGACAGTGAAAATATTTGGCCACTAAATGAAAGTGCATGCTGCGAAAACAATTATATCGTTTCTTAATATACTCGCTCCGCATTCGTGACACAGACAACCCAAAAAAGGGAAATATTTAAATCTAGTATATGCTATTAAGATGCTATTCTGTCCATGAAAACATTAAGCAATATTGTAAATATAAAATCTAAAGATTACAATTATCCAAACTTTCTGGATTAAACAGTTTCAAATAGCTTGATTATAAATTTTATGAAAATTACAATCTTTTAAGTGAAAGTATTGTTCAATTACTGAAATTTTTTATCGAGGTTATAATCAAATATTTAAAATGCAATAAAAAATTTCATTTATTATATTATTGTTATCAATATTGCATTTGCAACATAAAAACTATTCCTATTTCGGTTTGCTCGAGCAGTTGAGTCTTGCATTGATATCCTTGACGTAGAAATAATCTCCAAAAAATTTCAAATTCTTTATAAATGTTTCAACGACGATTTTACGGCGACACGTTGGGAAAGACAGCGCCCAAGTACGGTTTAAATCGAAAGCGGTGAAAGTGCTGGGGCGTTTAATACCGATCCGTTAATCTTCAAGGTCGTAAGCGGGACCGAAAGAAACGCGACGAAAAAGGTCAAGGTTGCGTGGGAACGAAAGCGTATCCAAGTTCGCGGAGGGAATTTTCCAAATCGATCGCGTCGCATTCGAAAAGCCGTCTCAATCGAGCTCTTTTCGCGTCGAGCACCTCTTTCCGGCTGGGCTTACTTCCCGAAGACGTGACTTCCTTCCGCGAGCAATGTTGAATTTTTGTAACGCATCCGGCATCGACAATCACTTTCGCTTCGCTCACTTTCTTTGGCCTACAGTCGAAGATTGACAATACTATTAGAGCTACAATACTGTTAATAATTTCTGCGAATAAAGTAAAAAATGATTAGGTCAGTCACATCTCATGGAAGAGAGCAGTGAGAACATTAAATATTTAATATGGACAAAAATGCGATTGTTGAATTAAACGTATAATGTGTCTGCAAATTGAGGAGAAAACTTGTGAGATAAAAGCAATTGATAATTTCTTCCGTTTAAATAAATAGTAAATATTAATTTAACAAATTTTTTTTTAGTTTGTTATCTACACCATTTATCTGGCACACTTCATAAATATTATATTTGAATAAGCATTGCATCTAAATATGAACATATGTATGATAAAAATACACCGCGCGTCTTTATTTACAATCGCCGTTAAAATTACGCGCTGCCGAGAAAACGAGATAACCTCGGGACAGCGCGGCAAAACTAAGACGGCCACAAGATGGTCGTAAAATTTACGTTCGCGCGAAAGAGAAACTTACAATATTGCCGGCGTAACGATCGACGCTCGGGACCGCTCGCAGGAGGCGTCGGCCGACATTTCTTTTTCACGTGATCACGAAAATAAATTTCTAACAGTGACACGAGAGAGTTTGAAAATGTCACGGAGAGGTGGAAAGGGGATTTACTTCGCCGCGTTCCTTGACAGGGTCCCCGAAGTCACTTTCGAAAATAACTTCGTTTACGAGAAACGGCAGGATCGAATTCGTTCGCTGCTTTATAAATAATCCCGCTTTGTTCGATAACGTGTACGTTGTCGACAGCCATGAATGAACGTAAACTCGCGAGCTGTTCCCTTCGTTGAACTTCGTTCGCTGCCGTAGCCGTACATACATTGTCATTGCCGTTCACTTTTCGTCGTCGACGGGTGACCGATAAATTACGCGTTAATTAGTCCCTCGCGTGAGACGTGTAAAAGGTGCACGTGCAAAATTCATAACCGATCAAG